AGAATGTATAATTAGTTTTATTTTTATCATAGTAGACATTAATATACATTATAAGCTTTTCTGTTTATATAAATTATGAAAACAATAAATTAACTAATCGATTTTTCAACAGTCTTTTACACTACTAGGAATTTAATTTTATTATACTTAGGATTTCTTAACTAAGGACTTGAAAATTAGCCTTGGAAAAATTATTTAAGCAATTATCTGAGACTCAAGCGGGATTGTTGTGTATAAAGTACATGAATACGGATTGCATAATTAATTTGAAGCATGCAGAACTTTAGTCTTTTGTAAATGAAAATGTTAATTAATTTATTAAGAAGCAAAGAAAGATATTGTTTTGCATCCATAGACGTATTACGTTGTAATAAATAATGTTTTTATTAAGTAATATCGTTTAAATCAATTATTCGCCCTTAATCATTGCATTTTGGTTCTTGTGTATATTTAAAATCCTTGAAAACAATCGGTTTGGCATTCCTATATTAAAGTTATATTAAATTTGTCGAATAGAAATTTGGAGACAAAAGTTGTGGTTTAACGTTTGTACTTACAGATATTCGACAATAAAATGTACATGTGTACGTACACATTATTCGTTTCTGCGCAACAAAGCGCTTAAAAGCCGATATTGCAATGTAAAAGTTGCTCCTCACCGGGAAGCCAAGTTATATATTTTCTTCGTCCCTCTTCTCTCTCTTTCTCTCTCTCTCTCTCTCTCTCTCTCTCTCTCTCTGTGTCTCTCTCCGTCTCTTATACCATGATTTCCGACGAGCAGAGCAATGTCGGCACGCGATGAGCTAGGAACAAGCATGCCACTCGAGAGTTTGCAAAGCGAGACAAAGCCGAAGAAGAAGCGGCGTTGTAATGGGATGCACTCGAAGCCCCCCCCCCGTCTTCCACAACACTTCCATCCTTCCCTCCTCCCCCGCTTCGACGCCGAAAAGCAAGTCTACAGCCAACATATACATTGACTGGACGGTGGACGGTGTAGGGGGGGGGAGAAGACGGAAGATCCCGCGGTCGAGATAAATGTAACGATGAAAAAAAGATGCCGTTGGCTCTTAGCTTCGAGCTGAGCTTGTGTACCGTTACGCGTATGCACCTCCCTCCCCCTGTCCTCGACGGGTATCCTCATCGACACCTCCGCCGCCTCACTCCGTGCCAGGAGAACCGCGAGAGTCGCACGCGATCTCCCCCAAGAACAAGCGGTCTGGAATCGTCGTTTTTTTTTTCTTTCTCCTGCGGTTGCTCATTCCCGCCGACACCGACGCCGACGCCGCTTTTTCCTCTTTAATAAGGAGAAGGAAATTGTACGGGCGAAAGTCGAGTGCTATTTATAAATGGGAAGATCGATAAAGGCAATGTAATCAACTTATCTGGCATTGGGGAAACTCGGGTTATTGGTGGGGCGTGCAGCGGTATCCGAGCTCAGGATGTTCCTTAATTTTCGACCGACGTTAACGCCAATGTACGCTTAATTGACGAACTTAATAATGCCGAGATTCCTAAGCGAGCAATTTATTTTCAGATACTCTTCGCAATCCTATTACCTCGTTTGCTATTTTAATATCCACAAATGCCGAAGAATCACAATTTTTGTAAACCTTGAAACACGGTGCACGTGAAATAGATGAATCAAGTCAAGCGATGCAGCGGTACTTCGTTCGTAATCTGCAAATCAATTATTTCGCGGCATATTCATTTAGTTGGAATTTGTATTATAATGACGTTGCAGCACTAATAGTAATAGCCCTTGTAATCATATAATTCCTATTATATCACATATTATTATAATAGAGAAAACTCTGTAAAAACTTATCATTGTTTTCAAGCATTTTCCCAAGTATATTTATTCTAAACTCTTTTACGTAAGTTATAAATGCTTTAACAATGTCATTAAAATGATCCATCTTAGACATGATACGTTTTTTTTTTTTTATAAACTTGGATAGGATTGACGAGTTTTTTTTTTATCGGCAACAGTACCACATCTACAAATCCAAGGTTGAATCTCAATATTATAAAGTAATTGTTATAATAATTCTTTCATTATTCAGCACGTTAATTTTGTAATTATAGTTTCACGTGTAATTTTTGTTGAATAATATTAATCGAACGTTAATCAATTGCCGTTATGTACGTATAGAGAAAATAAAGGGAAAATTTCAGTTAATTTATTGAATCGGCAACAACGCCAAGTATAATAAAAATACATTATTTATTATACATGAAAGCTATTAGCCTGTCGGTTCATTTCTCAATTTCAACGGGATTAATAAATTAATTTAATATTTACACCTTCAGATAAGGCACATACAAATTAAAATGCAAGCACGTAAGAGGATTAAATACACTTGTATTAATATGTTTTGACTTAAGCTACCGTATACGTAAAACTTGCAAGCCATTTTTTTTATTATTATTTTTTTTCTTTATTTTATTCTTAACTTTAATACAACAACAAACTC